CCATCTCCTCCAGTCTCAGAGCGCGTTCTTCCTCGGTAGTACGGATAGAACTAGGACTCCTTGGGAGAGTACATTGCAGCTCAACCTCCCCGACCATATGATTGTCGAAATCCATGGTGTCTTGAACAATTGTGAAGTCATCGTCGGCGACCCAGCTTTGCCGAAATGTTGTAAAGGAAGCCAACTCCCGTAGTCCAAAGTTGGTGAGTTCAGTTTGGCTGATACCCGTAGAAAGTCTCAGGTGAAGAGAGATTTCCTCTGGGTTGCGCATCTCCATGAACCTGGAATTCTGGAAATTTCCGCCATCTTTTATTTTGGCTTCCCAGTCACCGTCCCTCTTGCGGACCCAAATGCCTTTCGAGGATAGCAGGCCATCTAAATCGTAGTATATATCGTGCATGGAGCGTAAACCCAAGTACCGCAGACTTCGAAACGGTGGGTGCCCTCCGGCAAGAGTCAATGGCTGCACAGCAAGTCGGCTAAACTTGCGTTCTACCTCTAGGGTGAGCAGCCCAAAGGGGGCCATCGAGGAGGGGGCGAAGAGACGACAATGCGTAATCAAAGGTGGGCCAACGGAGCGTAGCTTAGGCCTATGTTTCCAGCGACCGGTGTGTCAATAGAATCACCTCATGCAAAGTAGTGGTCGCATCCAAAATCATGGTAGATGAATGCTGCCAGTCAAAGGGCCAGAAAGTATTGGCCGACTCCCGCCACAGAGATGGATTTGGGACCAAACATTGAGAAAAACAAGAAGCCAGGTCATTGATTCGTCACCTGATGAACCAACCTCCTCTCATCACGTGCCGAGTCTAGGCGTCGCTGTGTCACAACTTACTAGTTACTACCAGTCAAGTTGACGACCCTAGCGAAAATGTTCTCAGGACCGCCATGTACTGGGAAGAGGCAGGCAGGCAGTACTTTCACCGATACGCGTACTGTCTAGTCATATCGCTCGGACCACTCATGACTGATCCTGCCAGTTCAAGGTAAGTCATTTGTACTGTTACCTTCGTACTGTATGTATCTTTGTGGTTGGTATGTAATGACCAACAAACAACCTTGGAAGTTCAGAAATTTATTTAAAATGCTAAAATAGTAGGAATCATACAGAACCGCACCTCACCGTATCATAAGGCTTAACTACGAGAACAGGTACCGTTACATCAAGGCGGTACTTGGGCCGAATTATGTACGAAAGAGTTAGTCGAGTCCAGTAGCGTCGACACCTGAACGCCCTTTGTCTCGCGCTGAAAGCTACCCGTGATCTGGTATTTTGGCTAGAATGACACTGGGCCTCTCCCACGGCTGCTTCGGGTTGATTTTCTGGAACGAAAAAGGACATCTTCCAATCGATCCGGACAGTACAGTATAGGAGTCCAGGCAGGAGCTTATAATGGTCAGGTTACATTCAAGTCACATGGAGAGTGTGAGCGTTGGCTGCGTTGCATTGCGGCAGAGCGGTGGAGATGCCAGGAGCCAGGGCCGTCCATGGGCTAGTCCCATGCTGTCAGACAGGGGAAATTTAGCGTCAATGATGCCTTGGTCGGAATAGTTTGATGGAGGTCAGCCGCCGCCTAGGTCGTTAAACAGTCCTAGCTGCGGTAGGTAGGGCGGAAAGCTAGTCCCACCGGGAGGTGGACGTGAAGCCATTCTTCCGGTGGGAAGAGGTTTTTACGCGATTATTTGACGCCATCGACCTGCACCGGCTGTGGCCCCTCGGGGTCCCACGTGAAAAATCGTATAGTAACCGCGTAGATTGAGGGATGCGCTAGCCATTTGAGAGTAGCTCTACCATTTCCATATACCTACAGTAACCAATAAAGGACAGCCAGGGAAGGAAAGAACGTGGAGAGTATGTGCCGGAGACGCAAGGTAAAAACGCCGCCTCTATGCAGTTGGCCCGCATCTCCGTGGTGATATGGGGGTCTTAAACTGCACAGACGCGATCCAATTCCGAGAGATGACTTATCATGAACTGTCTAGTGCCCCAACATATATTTACCCCCACTTTAGCGGTCTAGCCCAACCAGCAGGCAGACCCGCCTCCCAGTAACTTCTAGGTAGAAGGCATTTTCCGAAGTAGGCTATTGTTCAAACCGTCGGGCATCCCTGTATTCTTGGGGGTACGTACATCTCTCATACGTGCTCATCCAATCACCCACCAGTCCCCGAATCACTTTTAGATTTCATATACTTGTATGGAATGATCGGCTAGGGGGAAGTCAAACTCCGCTCCTTGTATAACAAAGAAGAACGTTTTGTAGACCCTTGTCTGCTTGAAGAAGTGCTACTGAACCTCAACTATTCCTAAGGGTGGTTGTTCAAATTGATCATCTCTAACTATCAAAGTCCCTTCTTGACAAGGCTGCAGCTCCGTCCCGTCACTGATTATTTTCGTAATCCGACATGAAGTTTGTCTCTGAGGTTGGTTCGAGAATTGTCCGGCGCCGCAGTCAAGAGCCGTTGGACGAGCACACCATAATGTTAGTGGCCCTTTTCTGCGTGTTCTGCGGTCTCGGCTCACCCTCATTGCACAACGGCTGGCTGAAGTTAACCGGTGTTACCTCATAGGTGTGTTGAAGATATGATTCGAACTACTCCGTACACGCCATGCAAAAATCCCAATAGGGAGTCCGCTGGTTCTCATCGGAGCCCTTGACACGGACCCTCTCACCGTCAATCACCATGCCCTTTTGGCCCGCCCCACTCGGTCCCACTTCAGATCATATAGTGACTTTACGACTACATTACAAGTAATATGTAAAATAGAGTACATTAGTTCTAAGAGGACAGAGTGCAAGTCACTAGGTCGATTGTGTTAGTCCGGGATAGTGTGCTGAGCACGCAAATCACGGTCTTACTACAAGCCGTGGTACTATTTCTGATGACAGTACGCCGAGAGGATAACACCCGCTTTGTCTGGTCTACGACAAGCACGGTCGTGCGGATTGGTCACTATCTTGGTCTCCATCGTGATGGAGCTCAGTTTGGACTGACGCCGTTCAACACGGAAATGCGCCGACGATTATGGTGGCATATCCTGCTGTTGGATATGCGGTCGTCAGAAGAACATGGAACTGACAGGCAAATCTCAGAGAAGACATACAGTACCAAGGTTCCTTCTAATGTGAATGATGAATGTATCTACCCAGAAATGATGGAACCTGTACAACCGCAAACTGGCTTTACTAACATGACATTCTGCCTTATTCGATGCGAGGTAGCAATTGTCCTCAATCAAGTGACCTCTGCCATTTCGTCGAGCTCTAGCGACCAAGCTACTCCGCAAAGGCTTGAGGAGATGGCCGAGGGGATTAGCGATAGGATTCAACACAAGTATACCAACTTTTGTGATCAGTCTATCCCGTTTCAAAAAGTCTGTGTATTGATTTCTCGACTCTTCGCTAATTTATGGATCAACATTCATTTTTACCGGCCTGTCCGCCACTTCGCACTGCAAGATACCTCTGCGCAGTCTAAAGATAAATTGGTTCACTTGTCACTTGAAGTAATCCAGACTTCGTTCTCACTGGAAAGGGATATATGCATGCATCGATGGAGTTGGTTATTCCATGCCAATGCACATTGGTCATATGTTGCTTTCCTGCTTTCGGAATTATGTATCCGACCGACAACTACATTCGCAGATGAAGCATGGAGGGCGGTCGACTTAGTACAACGCAAGTGGCATTTGACTCAGAGGAATGGGAAGAGGGGAATGTTGTGGCGACCCTTACAACGGTTACTGCGAAGGGCAACTATCATCCGATCACAAACTGGGGCTCCGCAGGAACACAATGGTAAAGAACCAGCAACATCACCTGCTCTTGCCCGTACTACTACAAGCAGATACGCAGAGCTAGACCTTCTCCGAACCGAAGATCAGGGCGCGATTCCTCTTGCTGCCTCCGACTTACAGGGTGAAAATGTCTCATATCTAACCTTTAGCCAGCCAGATCCAGTTGATGTCAATTGTCGGGTTTTGGCGAATACAACTGGGGTGTCGGAATTTGGATCTATAGCGTCGATGGCGCATTGGAGCTTTCTGTGACAATCTAGCCTAAATATATTCAGGCCCAATAGGGGTTGGTTTTGTTGAGATTTCAGAAGTCTTCGATACCGCTGGGGAAACGCTTCGCCTGCCTGCTGAGGGCCAGTATGTATTCGTCATCCTGGGCACCATCACCGTGACTGTCATTAGGGAAATCAGCAATGATGCCAGATAAATCAGGCTGTGCAACGTCGTTCTCGTCTGGTGGATTTAGGAATTCATCCAAAGACATAACTTCCTGTGCACCTCCACCTGAAGGAAGCCGCCCCGTCGGGCTCTGATATAGAGGTGTAAGTTCAACCGATTGTGGCTCAGGCGTCTCATTAGTGCTCGGACAGATCGTCGTGCCTCTCTCAAAGCAGTTCTGTATTGTCCGATCGAGCACGTCATAAGCCAGGTCTAGGTTGTGACAAGAGTCTTTTTTTTGGGAAAAGAGTGCATTCCGCAGCGAATACTGAGATGGGAGAAGTGCTGGAGCTGCCGTGCGTGCTCGGTCTCCGCTGACTAGTCCGCTGGAATCTAACTTATCTATCTAGACGTAGTTCCCAGTGCCACATAAGTAATTCAGTGGAGGGTACAATATAGGCTCATTCTCTCTTCAGGATTGACACCACGGTCAATAATATTAATCATCTATGTTATTCATTTCTTCCGATCATGGCGCTCATATTCTGGATAACTCCTTAGTCTAATAGCCGATAAAGTGACGTCGCATTTACCGAGAAAACGAACACCTTGATATTAGATGCCAGTGGCGCATAGTCGAGGGCAGGTAGACATGCGCTGAAATTATCCATCAAGAGAAGGACGCGTTTTCCTTGCTAATATACTTATAAAACGCGCGGAGCTATCCGCCTATAGTATCACTGCGTATCCATACACTCTTTCCAGCGCCAGACGCATCTAATCGCTTGCGTATAAATCTTCCGATGTGCGCGCAGCGTCTTTGCTGTACTAATCAACTATAGTAGCATTCAATCCGAATCAGTAACATTCGTCCCAATTACTATAGTGATTCTGCCGTCTGTGCGCTGATAATTGTCTGATACCATTTGACCAGGGCCCTTAGTCCAAGTAGTGCTTGCCAGTGGACGCAGAAAGGATTTTACAGGGCTAGTATTCGTAGCTTATCATCTATAGGCGAGATTCAGAGCTGTTTCCTAGGCAATTGCAAGTATGATTAGAGTAAGCAATAAACAAAGAAGGAAGAAAGGAAGATAGTATGCATACACATCAACTAGCGATCTCTTCCATCAATTTTCATACGGCTCACTAATCGTTAAACGCGTAGGTCAATCATTGATGACCAACGATGATATCTCAGGCAAGGATGAAGACAATTACAGATGATGGTGCTGAGTCAGGCCTAAGACCACATTGTATCCCAGCTGCATAAGCATTGGGGAGCTGGGCGCAGCGTGCTGATTGCGGCTTTTAAGATGAAAAGAAGCTTACTAGTACTGATACTAAACTCCTAGCAAGATTTAAGAAAGAGAGTAGTATCCTGGATGGATCTTTGTAATGCTTTTCCAATGAGGAAAATCTGATGTCCGGCTAATAAGGACTGATTAGGAGGTAGTGTCATAAATCCTCCGGCGAATATGCCGTATAGTAAAATAAAGATTATGAGGCTGGTGGTGTTTTCGATCCCGGCCCACGCGAAGTATAGGACAGCAAAGGCAAAGAACATTGGTATTAACATGTTCATCGGGCCTGTCTTGTCTGCTCCATACTATTGAAAAGGAAGTGATATTAGTATTTGCCATAAGGGGGAATAAGGAGGGGAAACATGCATACATTAGTTAGTGGTTATTGTTACCACTATTTTCCCTAATAGACTAGTAGCCTTACTAATACCAGGCTGTATATAGTATCTTAATCAAAGAAAGAAAACAATAATATTGAGAAATTATAAAAAAGCTGATCAAGCAATTATTTCAATAATATATATACGAACTTCTGATATAAAGAAGAACGAAAAGAGGTCTGCAAGTGTGTGCGTGCAATTCTACAGTTGTCCAGAGACACAGGCTCCTTTGGCTCCCTGCAAGAACTCCCCTCATTCCTTCGACAATTCGGCTCTCAAGATGAATAAGGCGAGTACGAGCTTCCAACGCAGCGCAAGTCGCTTATGAATTCGATCCCCTGGATTGGAAAGCTGGTCGGCTGTTTCCTCGCCGAACCCCTAATTGAGCGCACTGGATACCGCAAAGCGATCATTGTCACCTCTGTTGTTCAAGTCATTGCCCTAATTATCGAGATGAATCGCGAAGAGCTGGCAGAAGTTTACCGTCGGGCGGAACTTTGCATATTTGGCTGTTGGCCTGGTACGTCTCCCCTTATTATCTACGAGTACGAATATCTGCTGATATGGAAAAGGTGGAAAACCTGGTCCCGGCATACTGCGCAGAGATCGCCCCAAGCGCAGTCCGTGGCCTACTTGCGGGCTCAGTTACCTTTGTCGTGGCTCTAGGAAACCCCCGGGGCAGTGGTGTCTCCGGTGCCTATGTTGACCAAATGTCAGCTAGAGGCTGGCTGATTCCTTGCGCCATGCAGCTTATCCCTGCAGTGAACATCCTCAGCCTCGTCGCGTTCATACCTGAGTCTCCACGATGGCTGTTACTCAAGGACAAACGAGATCTCGCATTGCGGAATCTCGAAAAGCTGCGCAGCAACGATGAAGTGGACAACGGCTACGTCGCTGCCGAGGTCGAGGCCATCGCCGAGGCCATCCAGGCTGGCTATGCACAAGACAATGACAGCGACAGCTGGTGGAAGGTTTTCAGCGATCCGACTAATCACGGAAGGCGGGCGTGGATTGTTGCATTGCTCTTCATCTTCCAGCAGACTAACGGAAACCAGTTTGTGAATAGCTATGGGCCGACATTCTACAGGCAGAGCGGGTACGGGAGCGCATATTTCACCTATGCCACGGTAGGGCAGGCCATGACTATCGTGGGGTCTCTTATCGGGATCCTCGTAACGGCCTATACTGGTCGTCGACCATTAATGATCGGGGGTGGGCTCATGTGCGGCGTCCAGCTATCAATCGGGGCAGCCCTGGGCTCGCAAGATCCCCCAAACCAAGCTGAAAAACGCACCGTCATTGCTACCTTCCCCCTGCTAGGGATCTCCACGAAGATATCCGCCAGCAACAACGCATTCCTAATTGGTGCCGAGATTGGCGGCGTCAAAATGCGCAAGAAGATCATGGGCTTTGGGACGGGGAACGATGTCCTTGCAGCTTTTCTTGTCACATTCGCCACACCGTACCTGCTTGCAAGTCCCAGTCCGGATCTGGGGCCGCAAGTTGGCTGGATATCTGCTGCAGCAGGATACCTATCGGGGCTTTACGGGTTCTTCTTTACTACTGAGCTCAAGGGGCGTTCGTTGGAGGAGGTTGATCAGATGTTTGAAGCTAGACTGCACGCGTGGGAGTTCAAGGACTTCCAAACTACTGGCGCTGGAAGGAGGTTGGTGGAATTGGAGAGGCACGACAAGACAGCTTTGGAGGAGGGAATGTTTACTGCTTACATCTGCCATGCGATGTCAGTCAATATAAAGGCATTCCCTCCAATTTTTGGTAGAGTTATTGCACCCAAACACGACGGGTGTCGGATATTACATAATAGGTAAAATTGGTTCCTGGTAGGCGAGGGATAATGACTCCCGTATTGGAGATTAGTGTCTGTTGGCCCAGGTAGCACGAAATCATTCGAATTGTGATGACTTACGGACCAGCTCGGTCAATTGAGTCTCCAACTAGACCCAAAACCCGTCTCAGTAGCCAAAAACGGGAGCAAGCGAAGGCCTTACCGAACATGACAGGACGTTAAATCAAGATGACAACGGAGTGATTATAGGAGTAGGAGTACAGTATATGCCATGCAGCATCTCTAGCAAAATATGCAATGACGCACAGTCTTCTACAATTACTGGATCAACTACCAAGCCCTCATTAGCCCATGAAAGAGTCAGAACCAGAAGAGCCTAGTCAAGTATGGCCCAGACTTTACTATATAGGAGAGTAGGTCAGAGCTCTTGTCTCAGGGAGCGTATCAAAGCAATGTTGGATTATAATTGTTCTTGCGTCCATATTTAATTCAACAATATAGTAAGGATATGTATTACCAACACCAAGAAAGTTTTTTATACCCACGCGTGCATCAAAACCAGGGCAAGGCTTACAGGCCATTGAAGAGTCTTGGGTAACAGCACAGAGCGCAGCACATACCATCCGCCGCTCTATCATCCATGGTCCATATACTGCAATCATCCTCGCCACGGTGACGAATCTTGGATCAGGAAGGATTCTGGGGCGTAGCCAGTTCACTAGACTGATAAGGCCCGTGACAATGTAAGCCTCGGCGAGCACTACACTGTCCAAGCGAGACAGCAGCGACCGGTCGATGCATCGGTCGTCGCAGATAAAGTATAAAAACAGGCATAGACTGACTACATACGGGATCCCGTTCTGAACCAACGCAGGGTACCGCGGATCAAAATACAACAGAAGGTCTTCATTTCACTACAGAAACGAAACATGTGAACTGGTCCGAACAAATGCCCAGCAGTAAGTGGGCTTCCGCGAATTTAGATCTTAGATGCTAGAGCGGGTCAGTATGGCGCTCAAAATCGAACTTACATGCCTGACGTACCTGAACCCACGTGGTATCCATAATACTATGCGTTCTGCGATAGGGAACGTATTTGTGCAGGGGCCAAATGGCATTTCGTTATGACCTGGCTGGGCGGTTGAAGTATGCTCTTCAGCGTACTCCTAGTTAGCGGAAGGTCCAAACCACGGCGTCGGGCGTGGGTCTGGTCTAGTAGCTCAACTATATAAATATGTATGCATGGGTGAAAAGCGGATTCTACAACATTGGTTTTTGAAGATGTGTTGAAACGAAAAGCCTCGGGGCTTAAAATGGCTCATAGAAGAAACGAGTGGTTGAAAGGGCAGCGAGCAGATCCACCTGGGTCGGACTCAGAATGAGTATTTCATGGTACAAAGGGCCTCATGATTGATCAGGTTGTTGTGAGTCATCTATCGCCGAAGAACCCATTCGGTCGATTTGGTAGAAACATCGCATCCAACGACGATCAACGTGCGGATGGGCAACAGTGTGTTGACCCTGTTGATGATCAATGACTTTCTGACCACAGTACAGTCATAAACCACCGTGCTTCTGTGGCTTAACCGGCTACAATACTGAATCTAGATTAGCTTAGCTAGATGGCCGGGCTTTTGAGGGAACGCTCTTGTTGGAAGCTCCCGTACTCGGAGACCAGTCGAATGTCAACCTCGGTCATATCAATGAGACTGAGCGCGTGTTTTTTATGAAGGCAATAATCAACGTCCCAAACTTCCCTCATCTATCATTCGAGCAAGATACAGGTTCCAAAACTGACCAGCCTGGGCTATGCTCAACTGAAACCACGATTTCCCTCGCTAGTACGCGAACGGTCAAGTTGAGAGATAAGATTGCCCGTTCGTTTCGACGGGTTTCCATTCTGCCTTGACTAGCATCATCATACGACGTCATGCTGAATAGGGTCTGACGAAGTGTAGGCGAATGTCTGATTCTTATCCAGTACGTGGCGGAAGCCCTTTGAGATGCCGGGTCGCGGTCTATTGTAAGCCCCACCCGGGGAGCTGGATGTTCTGCAGACCAAGGTAAGGCTACCGGGACCGGTGACAAGCTGGTGAGAAGAACTTGCCGGGTGGGCATGGTCAATCAGTCAACTTAACCGTCTTGGGAACGGGTACGTACCGTGAGAATCTGCGGGGAGATTGGTACCTGTTCACAGAGCAGAATTGCCCGGGCGGCTTGTATGCTGTTCCTAATCAGGTAAAGTGCCTCACTACCGCTTGTGTATCGAAGTACCCGGTCTATATAAAGTCACCTTCATGGCCCCTCAAGGACAGCCAGCTTTCATGCTACAGTATCCTGTAACGTTCTCTGTCTCAAAACATTATAAAGAATTGTCATTTGATGTGACTTTTTATGTTCTACGCTTCGCTAGTCCTCTGACTGGAGTGAGAAGGCTGACCTCCCGGTGTGAGGCCGAGTCAATACCGCCAGGCTCAGTGAGGATAAGGCATTGTTGGGCCAGAATATATTTCAACGGTACCCTCGAGCCCTTCTTGCAGATGCTGGTCTGCTGAAGTGGGTGTCATAGGAAGCTTTATAACAGAAACAAGGACTCGTTTTGATTTGTTGCCACGACAAAAATTCGCTACGGTTTGAGAGGTGCTGCTGCCGGTAAGGGACCAGACTTTATAGATCCTGGATCTCTGAAGATTGGGCAGGATGCATCCTCCACAATACAGGCCGGAAGCATATTCTATTTCTTCTAGGAAAGAGGGGCCTATGGAATTCCTACTGCACAGCTTCTTCTCCTTCGCTATTGCAACAGTATGCTGTTAGCTCTCACCTGGAGTCTACTTATACTATTCCAGACCTCATCTGTTGTCTAGGCAAACTCGTGTGTTTGACGGAATACGACGCAATCTGCCATTAGATTGTGAGTCATATATGTACCAGAAGTAAGCGGAATGTCTTGGCTTTTCGGATTCAGATACGCCGACTTTGAGGGACATCCAATTCGGTGTCGCCTCTCGCTGCCATCTGATCGACCCCATCGTTTGACGGGAAGTTCGTGAGTTTTTCGGATAAATGCCGGCCATATTTCCCCTAACAATCGCGCATCTAGTTTGCGTCTCCGCTTTCCGCGCGGGCATAGAACCGCTGTCCCTATGTCCAGACTTGCTCCCCTGTGAAGCATGTTGGAGCAGGATATGGGCTTCATTATATGCCTCGTTGTTCGCTTTATGCCTGGAGAATATCGTGGCACTGACCCAGATGCTGTGTGTTTGGCCGTTGAACACTAGTAATCTGGTGAGCCGAGGGAACGAGATGATGATACATCTTCCTCACAATGAATGTCGAAGGGGAAGTGCGGTTGTGATTTGCCTACAGTAACAGGTTAATGACATCGTTGAACCCTCAAAGGCTGGTTTACAGTAGCATCGTCACGCAAACGGGCAGTCAATGAGAGAGGTAAGCCAACTCACTGTGTTTGGAAGCGTTCTTGCTGACTACTTTCCTGGTTGTACAAAATTCATTCCGCAAGATCGTACAATGGAAGCATCCGTTACTGTGCTTATACCAAATAGAATGTGGGTGTTCAGTGTGACGCAATCGAAAAAGTTGTCTCGCTATGGTAACTCCATCTGCTAAGGATTGGACGAGGGATCGAACTAGCTAACCACTACAAAATAAAAATAGGTATCATCGAGCCGGCGCACTATTTCGTGGACAATCGAGCCAGAAACCGACGTATATTTCTGCCTGAGGCAAAAGTGCGCTCCGGCCAAAGGGGTGAGTAAGCTGGTAAACAACCCGACACGCAATTCTCTCCCGACTCTATTCCCCGCGCCGGATAGAGCCTCCTCCGCTGTTGAGTTGCTTTCGCTCGATTATCGGCCGAGCAACTTTTTCGAAACGGGATGGAGGCAACAATAGCTGAATTACGACGTCAGATTGAAGAACTACAAAGGCTGCGAGAAGCGGCAGAGCGCCGTGAGGAGAAGGAGAGACAGGCGCGAGAAGACGCTGAACGTCGAGTGCAACCCAACACCCTGTCTTGCCTCCTCGATCGCTGCCACAATTCTCTCTCCCAAGCGATCCGAGTTGAGGCAGATGCCACCCTTACTACTCAGGGCGACGCGGCCAATCCAGTG